AGAAAAGACCAATCAGCAGTGACTTAACTGACCAATAAAACCGCGTCATTCGACTGACCAATCGAAACTCACTCAGACATATTTATTTAAAGCACACATTGGCCCTAGTTCAGTTTAGCAGTGAGTGACCAAGGGGCAGGATGCGTTCAGCTGGTCTTTTAGCTAGCAATCGTAACTTCTCTGAAATGGTGATCTTATGCGTTCATTTGCGATTTAACCACTCTTCTATCTGTCAACAGTTGATATTCTAATGCATACAATTCTTTTAATGACTTCTATCATTAAAAAGCTTCAATACTACATATATGGGCAATAATATATCGTTCATATCTATTATTCTACTTTAAAGTCGCTTCAACACTATTGTTGCTCATTTCCATGTTATGTTTTTCTTTGGGTACCCTTAGAAATTTTTAACTATTCCGATTACGAATTGTTTGTTTATTGCATTATTTTCTTGTTCGTCGACAGCAATATATGCAATTGCAGGCATTTTAGATATAACAGGCCTTTCTCAGAATTGCGCTCTCTCATATTGTTTGCTCCTCCCTCTCCATTGGAAGCAGCCTTCCTTTGTAACAATTGGGGGCTGAAGATGTTGGACATACCGTGTTTGCGTTTAACAAACAATTGCATGTTCCTCCTCATGGTCAAGTGTGATATTTCGTTTTCATTTCACAAACCCAAACGCTGCCATGAGCAAACCGATAATCGTGGAATTTATGCAAATCCTTGTTCTGTTAGTCCTCCTTAACAATCAAGCATTGTTGTAAGTTGCGGTTTAGTGGAACGTTTACTTTCTCTTTGTTAAATCTCATGCACATATGCTACCCATGCTGCGGAAACAACTTCAGAATGACATAACTATGTGCCCTGTTGTGTGGATTATGTCTTTTTCATTCCTCTTCATGTTCACATAACCAATTTCGGTACTTCTCTTTATTCCATGTTTTCATCGTTTTGCAGTGGATCTGCCTGGTTCTACCTGAAGAAAGAGCAAATGATTTTTTACGCATTCATGTACATCATGGCATCTGGAAAGAAACAAGTATATATAAATGTGAGAAATGTGGTAAAAGAATCGGGAGTATTGATTGAGCTCAAGGAAGGCAGATAAAAATCGGAAAATTAATTAAGACCAAGTAAGTTGAAAATGGTCACCCTGGGATGTGCCTTCTTGTGAATAAAGTTATCAGGTCAAATTGCTGTACTTTAGCAATTATTGCAAGACCCAATTTTAAAGACTATTCATTAGTGCATTAAATTGCTCCATTAACAGTCTCTTCAGGTCAACCAAATTTTATTAGACTTATTCATGTTAAGATTTGACCTTACAATTGCAATAAACACTAGAATTATTTTTCGTGACCTCAATTTTACACGACGATGTTCATTGCTTGAATTAAAAGATGAATGTAGGGAATATTTAAAACGGCGTGATGACCGGAGTTGACCAAGTGAGTTAGTAACTCACATCTCTGAATGCGCAATGACCACATGAAGGCAGGGTTTGGTGCCCTGCACTTTGATAACTGAGAAGCATGTCCATTGGACTTTTTCAATGAGTGGGCATAGGAGAGTACACACAGACAAATACACACATAAAGGCGGAATATTTGGGGGAACGGGAAGATTGTTGGTGGGGTTTTTCCGACGAAGGCGAAATTACTTCGATGAGTCAGAGTTTTTGTGAATAGTGGATATATAGAGGATAGCTGAGGAGGCGGAGTGAAGGAGAGCATGGTGCGTTGTTGAATGGGATATTTCGACCCTGACTCGGAATGAAATGGGAAGGAGTGGAAGAACAATTGTGAGAAAAAAAGAGAGATAAATGGTTGTCAGACACTCAGCCCATTTGGTTTTTAAATTAGTGCAATGAGAGATGTCGATACAACATGCTGCCAGTCTAAACCAAGGTGGATACATTATAGAAGGTTAAATGAGAAAATTGTCCTGTAAACTGAGTATTTATTATTTTCTTTTAGGAAACCGACCAATGAACTCACGTAGGTTAACTGACCAATCGAAAACACACTCGGTGTAATACGGCAGAGCACACATTCGCCTAAGTTCATTTTAGCAGTAAGTGACATAGGAGGAAGACGTGATCATCTTGGCGTTGACGGTGGAATAGTAATTTCTTCGTTAATGTGAGTCTAGACATTGATTTACGGTTTAATCACTCTTCATTCTGTCAACAGTTAATAATTTGATACATACAATACTTCAATTAATTTCAATCATAAACGTATCAAAACTGCAGAAATGAACAAAATACGTATTAAAAATAAAACAAATTTAGCGTTATAGTTTCTGTAAAACTGTCGTTGATCAAAACAATATCAAGTTCATTAAAAGTAACTTAGGATGTTTAAAACAACTGTGAGTAAGTATTGATTATAGATTACTGGCTCGTGGTTAGAGTCATCATATGTAGGCATAAACTTCATGAAACAGTGAAATTGGAGACTGCTGAGTACTAATGAATGCAGTGTTATGCCCATCAATTCAATTCATTCAAACGGAGTCAGGATGTAATGCGATGTCTTGCTTCAATTTAGAATTGACAGGAGGATGAAAGCAATGAGGGGTAAGTTAGTGAGGAAAGACGATGGTCAGCCAAGTGTTGCACCTCCTCATCCGATCCTCGATCTCGCTCTCCTCCACCTCCTCCTCCTTCAATCCAAACGGCTCACTGGTGGATTCAACGTGGAGGACATATCGTGGATGAGTGAATTGAAGACTGGTGAGTACTAATGAATGCAGTGTTATGCATACCATTTCAATACAAACCATTCAATAAAAGGGGCGACAGAAGAGAGGGGGAGTGACAGTGGTAAAGGATTGAGATTGAGAGTGAGATTGGAAATGAATGAATTGGTAAGTAGAATGTGAGTGAGGTAAGTGTGTGGCCAAATG